GTCTGTAGTCGTGGTAACAACTCACAGCAGCCATACGTACGTACGACAGAATGACACGCCGCCCGGCCTGGCACCATCTGTACCACAGTTCCCATGCCGGAGCCCTTATGCACATACATGTCTGTGAATGTGTTTCTCTAGTCCACCCAGACTAACACACCATTCATCTGTTGTGTTCGACCCGGTTGACTAGAGAAACAAATCCAAGGACACTTACAGATGTGTCAGAGAGAGCTTTATATCAAAGAGCGATTGTATATTGAGAAAACATCCAAGCCCATATCCAGATCAAGTCCATAAGCCCGATATTAGCCCAGATGTCCGAAACCAGTCCGTAAATTCCTCTTGAGACTCATGTTGCCACTGGCAGTGATGCCAAATGCAGGAAGATCACAGGCTAGTGGGTGGAAAGTCTTGTGGATCCAGTGGCAGTGGAAGCATCCTAGGGCTGTCTCCGTGGATCTCTGCTGCATGGTGCGCTCAGGTCTCAGCTTCATGTGGCTTGTCCACAGGAAGACCAAAGCAGAGTGGGGGGGGGGGGTTGGGTTCCCAGGATCCACCTACACGAAAGGCCACACCCACAAGAAGGGTCATCAGGCTGTGACCTCTGATTGATAGGCTAGACTCCACCCCTATGTTTATTTATCCGGTTGACATGAAATGATGTGTCTCCCACATCTGTTCACGGGCACTTGGGTGGGTTCCACCTTTTGGTGATGGGGAGTCAGGCAGCTGTCGACATTCACATACATGTTTTGTAATGTGGGTGCATGATCTCGAGTTCTCTGGGTATGTGCCTAGGTGTGGAATTTGCCGGGTCAGAAGATAATCAGTAGTAGCATCGTGATCATTGGAGAACAGATCGACACCGTCAAGCGTTTCATCTTGATTGTATCCACAAGCAACGCTCCTGGAAGCAGCATGAAAGTCAAGAAACCAAAGGGCACGTTGCATTGGGTAAATCTGGTTCCCAAGACCTACTGAAAGTGCTCAAGAGAGAGGGGGGAAAAAGAAAGTGTGAAGAAGCAAGATGTCACTTTGAGGATGAAGGTGCGGCTGACCCAGCCAGGGCCTTTCACCCGCCTCGCCGGCATGTGAGAGTGGGACATGGAATAAGGAGCCCAGAGGGAATTTTACGCATCTGAATTTGGGCTGGAGAAGGGTATTGAAAGTGGCCTGGACTGCTAAGAGAACAGACAGTCTGTCTTGGAAGAAGCTCAGCCGGCATGCCACTTAGAGTGGGTCTCCCTCCCGGTGGACATGCCATCAGGAGAGACCAGCCGTTGGAAAGGGCATCATGCTCGCTCGAGGGCCAACCACAAGAGGGGACCTGCAGCCACATCGACACAGTGGCTGTCACAGTGGGCTCAGCGTAACAGCACTTGGGAGGGCAGTGCTTTGTTCTCGGCGTCTGGGCATGGGTCAAGGTGAGTGGGACTCTCTGTGGTACATGGGTCGGCATCAACTTGACTGCACATGACAGCCTGGAGTCTGGAGTCTGTGAATGGTGCTAGCCCCTTGGCCGTGAACCTGAAGGTTTGAATGTTCACTATCTACCCAGAAGCAACTCAGAAGAAAGTCCTGGCAATCTGTTTCCAAAACATCCCTCCTTCAGGACGCTGTAGAGCAGCGGTTCTCCACCTTCCTCATGCCGCGCGCAGCCCTTTCATACAGTTCCTCCTGTGGTGGGGACCACCCCCACCCATAACATTTTCGTTGCTACTTCATCACTGTCATTTTGCTACTGTGACGAATCGTCATGTAAATATCTGAGAGGCAGGATGTATTTTCATTGTTACAAATTGAACAGACTGAAAGCACAGTGATGAATCACAAAAGCAATATGTCATTACATATTGTGAAATATTTATTTCTAATGACAAATAAATGAAATGTCTTGAAGCATGGTGTAGCATGGGTAACAGTCTTCACGCCGGGTACTCATAGGTAGGCATATCTGCATGTGGGCGGACCCTCCTGGAGACGGATAGAGGAGCAGTGTCTCGGTTCCTAAGACCATCGGAAATGTGTTTTCTGATGGTCTTAGGGGATCCCTGTGAAAGGATCTTTCGACCCCCAAAGGGGTTGCAACCTGCAGGTTGAGAACGCTGCTGTAGAGCGAGGTTGTGCTCTGACACGTGGGGCTGCCCTTATTTCAGCGCACGGGTTACTAGTTACTGGTTACTAAGTCAGAGGTTGCTAGTCAGTGCCTGGATGGTCCAAACGGTCTCTGTGCTTGGCCCAAGCTCACCGAATTGTTGAGGGCCTCCTGAGTTGAGGCCCTCAACTCCATGGCGACTGTGTTCTCGTAGCTTGGTGTTTTGCTTTCAAGGGAGCTGCCAGGTCCGTGTGTCCACCCGTCTGGCCTGCCCTACCGTCTCTCCGCCATCATGCCCATGTTCGCGGTGAACACCAACGTGCCCGCGCCTCTGTGCCCGATGGGCTGCTCTCCGAGCTCACCCAGCAACTGGCGCAGGCCACCGGCAAGCCCGCCCAGTGCATCGCCGTGCACGCGGTCCCCAAGCAGCTCATGGTGTTCAGCGGCTCTCTGCAGCCTGCACAGCATCGGCAAGATCGGCGGGGCGCAGAACCGCACCCACAGCAAGCTGCTGTGCGGCCTGCTGGCTGAGCGCCTGCGCATCAGCCCGGACAGGATCTACATCAACTATGACATGAACACTGCCAACGTGGGCTGGAACGGCTCCACCTTCGCCTGAGCCCCCTCCCTGCCCCAGCCTGCCCGAGAAATAAACGGTTCAGAGACAAAAAAAAGGAGCGCCGCCGGTTGTCCACAGCTGCGGCACCATTTCCTGTCCTCACCAAGTTCCAAGGTCAGGCCTTCTTCCCCCTTGGATTCAAACCACTGCCCTTGAGTCGATGTTGACTCACACGAGCCTGTAGGACAGCGCAGAGCTGCCCTTGTGGGTTTCCAGGCTGTAACTCTTCACGGGAGAAATAGAAGGCCTCCTCTCTCCCTGTGGCTGACAGACAGTAGGCGCCTCATCCCAAAATCAAACCGGTTACCCCGGAGTCAGTTCCAACAAATTCGAATGGCTCCACCGGGCGTCCTTGGCTGTCATCCTTACAGGAGCTGCCCTGGGGTGGCGCACACAGTGAAGTGCTTGACGACTTGCCAGAGAGGTCAGCAGTTCCAATCTACCTAGAGGTACTGTGGAAGAAAGGCCTGGCCATCTAGTTCCTAAAAACCAGCCACTGGTTCTACTGGGCCCAGGCGGGGTCGCCCTGGGTCCGAATCCACCGGAAGGCACCTGCAGCACCTGTGCCACCCAGCAGCGGCCTTCACGGCCACAGAACGCCAGTCCTTTCTTCAACTGTGTCCCGGGGGTGGGGGGTGGGGGGTGTCACACTGCCAACTTTTAGGATGGCGGTGTTTGGTTTCCTGGGAAAGTCAGCTCCAATTCTTATCCAAGCCCAGTCCAGATCAAGTCCATAAGCCCGATATTAGCCCAGATGTCCGAAACCAGTCCGTAAATTCCTCTTGAGACTCATGTTGCCACTGGCAGTGATGCCAAATGCAGGAAGATCACAGGCTAGTGGGTGGAAAGTCTTGTGGATCCAGTGGCAGTGGAAGCATCCTAGGGCTGTCTCCGTGGATCTCTGCTGCATGGTGCGCTCAGGTCTCAGCTTCATGTGGCTTGTCCACAGGAAGACCAAAGCAGAGTGGGGGGGGGGGGTTGGGTTCCCAGGATCCACCTACACGAAAGGCCACACCCACAAGAAGGGTCATCAGGCTGTGACCTCTGATTGATAGGCTAGACTCCACCCCTATGTTTATTTATCCGGTTGACATGAAATGATGTGTCTCCCACATCTGTTCACGGGCACTTGGGTGGGTTCCACCTTTTGGTGATGGGGAGTCAGGCAGCTGTCGACATTCACATACATGTTTTGTAATGTGGGTGCATGATCTCGAGTTCTCTGGGTATGTGCCTAGGTGTGGAATTTGCCGGGTCAGAAGATAATCAGTAGTAGCATCGTGATCATTGGAGAACAGATCGACACCGTCAAGCGTTTCATCTTGATTGTATCCACAAGCAACGCTCCTGGAAGCAGCATGAAAGTCAAGAAACCAAAGGGCACGTTGCATTGGGTAAATCTGGTTCCCAAGACCTACTGAAAGTGCTCAAGAGAGAGGGGGGAAAAAGAAAGTGTGAAGAAGCAAGATGTCACTTTGAGGATGAAGGTGCGGCTGACCCAGCCAGGGCCTTTCACCCGCCTCGCCGGCATGTGAGAGTGGGACATGGAATAAGGAGCCCAGAGGGAATTTTACGCATCTGAATTTGGGCTGGAGAAGGGTATTGAAAGTGGCCTGGACTGCTAAGAGAACAGACAGTCTGTCTTGGAAGAAGCTCAGCCGGCATGCCACTTAGAGTGGGTCTCCCTCCCGGTGGACATGCCATCAGGAGAGACCAGCCGTTGGAAAGGGCATCATGCTCGCTCGAGGGCCAACCACAAGAGGGGACCTGCAGCCACATCGACACAGTGGCTGTCACAGTGGGCTCAGCGTAACAGCACTTGGGAGGGCAGTGCTTTGTTCTCGGCGTCTGGGCATGGGTCAAGGTGAGTGGGACTCTCTGTGGTACATGGGTCGGCATCAACTTGACTGCACATGACAGCCTGGAGTCTGGAGTCTGTGAATGGTGCTAGCCCCTTGGCCGTGAACCTGAAGGTTTGAATGTTCACTATCTACCCAGAAGCAACTCAGAAGAAAGTCCTGGCAATCTGTTTCCAAAACATCCCTCCTTCAGGACGCTGTAGAGCAGCGGTTCTCCACCTTCCTCATGCCGCGCGCAGCCCTTTCATACAGTTCCTCCTGTGGTGGGGACCACCCCCACCCATAACATTTTCGTTG